GGAATGATTAAAGAACTTGACTCTGATATTTTTTAATTTTCTGTCCCCGTCTTTTTTCCTTTCCCCCCCTTCTCTTTTTTTCCCCCCTCTTTTTCCCCTTCTTCTCTTTTTTCCCTTTCTTATATTATTCTTTCTTCTTTCTTTGTTATTTTTCTTTTGTTATTATTTTTCTTGTTGTTGTTTCTTCTTGGATGAGGTAATTAATTACCTTAATTCCTAAGGTAATTAAATGTCTTTCAAAGGAGAATTGGTGAGAACTTTATTCCCATGTTATTATTTCCCCCCTTGACTATGAAATACAATGACACAGCATGAGGTTGCTATTAGTAGAACACTCCTAAGCTCTCATTGTAACTGGAATTCACAGAAGTGTAACTCCCTAGTATGGATAAAAGCTGATGACACTAATTTGGAAACAGAGCTTTTGTAGAGGGCTGAACAATTTTTTCCTGTCTCTTGAAGGAGCCTAGTGAAGGGTTTGCTGCTGAGTGAGGTGTTGCTCTCCCAGATGGTGAGGGTTGCCAAGCCAGGCATCCCTCTCCAAGCCTCAGCAGCGTGCCAGGACCTGCCACGTGCGCTGCCGCACGGTTCCACAGCCACAGAACACAGACCTGGGGAAGGAGGAAGAGTTTAAGGATGTATTTTTCATCATAGAGGGACATTTGCTTAGCAAGAGCCAAAGATACTAAATATAAACGTAATTTTTATTTTCTATTAGGTCAAAGCATGTGTGCTAGTAGTTTGAGAGCATGAAGTGTGTGTGTTAGCAAATGATTTTTTAAGGGATTATTAATTAGTATGTAATTATGAAATTCTAAGACATGTTTGGCTTTGTGCTCAGGCTCCATTAGCATTTTAATTTGGACAAGATGTGTTTGTTCTGGAGTTAATTGCTCACTCTGTTCTCCCCACATAGCATGCTTTGCACAACAGAGGGATATCAGGACACACCAGCTGGCTAAAACCTGACCTGGAGGTGTGCTCCAGGAGCCTGCTAAATGCTTTGCAGGTGCCAGTGGGTGTCCAGCCTGTGGGATCAGGGTAGACTCAGCCCTGCCAGGACAAGTGCAGAGCTGCACCATGCAGAGCTGGTGATGAACTTCAATATAGAAGAAAAACTGGCTCCTCTGAGTGCACCCTCCCAGAATTTCAGTTTTGACTTCTCTGTTCTTTGGGGTAGGCTGGCTGCACTGCTGAGCTGGTGGAGTCACTGTAGGCAGACAAACTGATTTTGAGGGAGATATAGATTTGGGGAGATTGAGGCTAGACATTAGGAAGAAATTCTTTAGGGTGCGGGTGGTGAGACACCGGTCCAGGTTGCCCAGGGAAGCTGTGGAAGCTCGATCCCTAGAAATGTTCAAGGACAGGTTGGAGCAACTTGGTCTGGTGGGAGGTGTCCCTGCCCATGCGGGAGCTTTTAATGAGCTTTAATGTCCCTTCCAACCCAAACCATTCCATCATTCTATGATATGATTCTATGGTATGATTTTATGAAACGCCTAGGTACTGCCATGAAATTTGAATTAGGCTCTTATCTACAACACTTAAACCCTTGCTTTAAGGGACATGATACCATGCAAAGGTGCTCTGGTTTCCTCCTCTGCTTCCCTTTTTTCCCCCCATGGCCCACAGAATAGAGGACCGTTAGATTATGTACTCACACGTTTCCATTTTCCCCAGATATTATTGTGATTTCTTCAGCTCCCATGTAGCCTCTGTCTGCATGACCGAGATGCTTTTTCCACAGAAACTCAACTTTTGAAATGTTCCCAGAAATTTCTGTATCAACATCGTTCCAGTATATGTTGCCTGGTTTGAAGGTGCCCCTGCCAAGAGAAACACAGACCTTGTGTTCTGTGATCTTTACAAGTGAGGGGAAAAAAACAAACAACAACAAAAAACACCCTACAGTTTAAGCATAAAGAGATGAGGTGTGGGCTGCTGGGAGATGAAAAGCTTTGAATACTATTGTTATATTTTATTACTTCCCCCCCCTTCAAGAATTGCCAAGTAGGGATGTTAGGTAACATTCTAGCTTAGAAGTTGCTGTTGGGAGAGTATGTTCCTTGGGCAACACACAGGGCTCTTGATGCAGAACATCATGCAGCTCAGAAGCTTTCAGCTCAGGCAGTGGGAGATCATGTCCCATGTCCAGAAATACCAAGTTCTGTCCTCTCTGCTGAATAGTCATTCAAGCCATGTAGAAAAACCTTAAATGTTTCATACATAACATGTATCAAATACTTTTTTAGACAAACATTGTAACAGGGCTAAACTTAAGGGAAGATTAAAAAAATGCCACAGAAAAAAAAAAATGTAATGCATGTTTCATTTAACTTTTTTTGGTAAGGATTAAGAAGGAATATCTAATTGATATTTTGGTTGATTCCACTCTCCAAATTAGTATTGCAATGTTTTTTTTTCCCTGAAGCCATTGTGGCAGTGTTGAGGCCACCTTATCTTTGCCAACATGAACTTCTGAAGATTAAATGTCATTTTTCCACCCTTTGGCTAAAGCCTGTGGTGCGGATTCTAGCCAGGCAAATTACTGAAGGCTACAAAGTCTCTATTTTAACCTTACTGGGAAAAGTAGAGGAAAATGTATTGCTGCTTATGTTGGGAGGTTACTGTGGATCCATCCACAGGCTTTCAGCCTCTCAACCCAACATAGAGGATTATTGGTACCTGAGGAGGAGACAGTTACTCAGAGGGATCTATAGAAATGATCAGATGACTTGGTTGCCTAAATTCCTATGCCTTTCAGGATGAAGACACTAGATTAGCTAGCCCAGCTATTGTCACCATTACCATAGGGCTTATTTTGGACATTCTTTTTGGAAAATGAGATCTATCTGCAAATAAGTTCTAGTCAAAAAGTTCTCTTGGTGTTTCTGCTTGTTCTCAACCATGAGGAGATTTGAAAATTATAGTTTATATTAGTGTCCTGTGTGGTATCAGTGTTCATTATAAGGGAATGCACATTACAGTGTGACATCAACACAGAAATTACCTGTAGGTATGTTGCTGCAGTAGTGTATTTGCAACCAAAGGCACTGTTGGTACAGACCAGTAACAGGGCTATGCTCAGACACAGTGGGGGTTGGTTTTGCAGTATTTACACTGTGCTCTTGACAAGGATAAGTTTGTGAGCTATAAATTCACATTTACTGGAAAAGGCCAGGTTATGTGGACAGGAATTCCAGACTCCAGCACAGTTCATAAGCAAGATGCTTATGAATTCTGCGTAATCACATATCCCTATGGGAGGGAATGATGATGTCCCTGGATATCATGCGGCACTTTATCCTCTCGGGGAAGATCACCGAATTATATTTGGGCTCAGCAGTAATCACAGAGCTCTTTGCTTTTGCCCACTTTGCTAAGCTAATTGTCATCCTCAGAAAATAAAATACAATACAGAGCAGCAGAGACAAGATTTTAACCACAATCTGTAGCATAGGGAACTTTAACCACTTACCAGCTACTTTTATTATCAGTATAAATCACAGGTCACATAGAACAAAGTGAGACATGTAAACAGAGCTGTGTATAAATTCAATATGATAACAGCAATAGAGACATTTTTTCAACAGTCATGTTAAACTTACTTGTCAATTGTATATTTTTTCCTGATCCCATTATTTCCAGTCAAGGCTACATCTATATTTGCCTTCATGATTTCCATTGCAGATACTTTGACATGTATCTCTTTCCTCCAGCCTTTGAAAGCAAAATGAAACAGATTATGGTTGTAAGGAAATTTCTTCTCAATGGCAAAACTTTTCACATGTTTCCATGTCTTTCAGGGAGAGGAAAGGATTGCACAAATGTGGTAGAATGCCACTCTTTACTAAGGCAAGTGTTAGTTCTGTTGATTTTGGTAGCACTAACTTCCTTGACAGTGCAGAGGCAAGCTCTGCTGATCTCCTGGCTATGCAGGGTGTTATATCTGCCTTGGCTTTATCTGCCACTTGGCCTCACTTTTACTTTTGTCATTTCTCACACTTGAAAGCAATTTGTACAAGCTCATGGGCAGCCTGTTAGCTCTCAGCTGGGAAGTGAGGCCCACTGGACCGCTGTGTTGTTGAAGATATATTGAAACCAGCAGCTTTCCCAGGATGATCCTGCTATAAAGAGTGTTACAGAGTTTGTCTAACAGCTGTGCACACCCCAACAGCTGGCAGGAGGTCCTGTCATCTCACATGTCTTTCCAAGGCAGAAGCAGGGCTTTGGGCACAATAGCACATACCGATTTCAAGGAACCAAGGTTGGGATGTGTTTGCACTGGCTTTAATTCAGTCTGTTAAAAAGAGAATCTCTTCACCCACTTCATAAGGCTATATTGGAATCTGGGCTATAATTTTTATGAGCTCAACAGTTTATAAATATTGCAATTAATCTATTAATACAGATTTGAGAAGTAGCTAACTTCTCTATACTCAAATTACTTGTTTTACTTTTTGCTCATAAGGAGATGGGATATAAGTTTTTTATTGTAGTTGTTCTTAATTTTGCTTTCAGAGTTTACTACCTAGTGAATAAGGACCTCAGAGACTCTCTTTCCTTTATTGCCCTTACAGTTCATGATGAATTACAATTTATTTATTTTCCTATTTTCCAGATCTATGGCTGCTTCTAAATGAATCACAATTAATGCTACACTTATCACTCCCTGCCATTTTGACTTGATGAACTTTACCAATTTCTCCTGAAATAATCCAGTTTTGTAAAATTTGTCAATAAAAACAATTTAACTTTTTTTTTTTTTTTTAATTTTGCACTTACTGCATAACATTCCCCCCACCTTCACCTTCATTGAATTTTTAAAACCACCACTTCATTAACAAAATTATCAAGGTTTCTAGGTCAGAAGAAACACTTACGAGCATATGGAGGAGAGGGCCCTGTGTTTAAATAAACCTTTTGCTGTTCTTTTTCAGTTTTATGTGAAAACTTATCAGCATAATGACCCATCAGTGGACATCCTTCCTTTGGACATGGGAAGCAATTTCCCTGGGGGAAGATAACAATGTGTGTTACAAGATATCTATTCAATTCCCACTGCTTAAAGTATAAGAAATCAGGGTGTTGAAGTTTTTTCCTAGCTTTTTCAAAAAGGTACTTTCTTCTGAGTTCAGATCATATCTTCAGTATTTATCAGTGTAGTGAAAAAAGGAGATAAGGTGGTCAGTCAGCTTGTTTCATCTGGTTGAAAACTAGAGAGAAACTGCTTGAAAATCAGGCTGAATTCCTTATGTTTTTGCAGCAATCATAAGTAAATACCCTAAAGCCTTACTACCTGATCTGTAAAATATAGGTAATGAATTATTCTTTCATATAGTCCATTAGAAGGTTGTCTGCTAACTATATAGGGTGGGTAACCATATTTGCAAGCAGGTCTTGTTGGATATATAATTTGTGTGGTAAAGATATTTAAGTTTAGGAATGCGGAAGCTTGAGATCTTGCTTTGGAATGTGTTCTGCCTACTTTTCAGTCATTTTTACCCATGAAAAACCTTAATGAGATTAATCTACATATATTCAGATCAAGACATTAATGACCATTAAAATAAATAGATTAAAAAATGAATATTTTCAGTGAAATTGATTTAATTGTGGTTGGAAAAAAACAACACTTATCTTTAGATAGTTCAGTTTTGATATTTGGGAGGTTCTGTAGGAAATGGTATTTGTGGATCTTTGGTTGTTTGGACAGATGACAAAAAGGCTAAATGATCCTCATCACTTATGAGACTGAAAAAAACATTTCCTTCATATCACTAAAACTGCACAGGGTTCAGCTGTTCAAGTCCTGAATTGCATTGAACTTCAAGTTATGTGGCAAGATAGCAAGTTTTCCACAGTATTATAATCATTCCTTTTGGGAGTAGATGGAAATCAATTAATACTTGTGTCTTGACCAGTCCTCAGTTGCATGACCAGAATTGGTCTGCTAAAAGCCGAGGGATGAAACACCAGGACATCATGCTGCCTTCTTTCTTGTTCCACCTGAGGGTTCTGTGGGCAGTGCTGTGCTCCATAAATATCTCCTTGTATACTGTTGCTGTTTAGTGTTTATGTAGATGTTTAAATATTCATGAAGTCCAGAGGCAGTCCTCTTGATGAGAGGTTTCATCAGGTTTAGATGGACTTCCTTCAACCAGACCAAGTGCCCTTTGCTGCTGACCTTCGTAAAAGGAGAACCTGGGCGCTGCCTCTCCTTGCCCTCTTACTCAAGTCTTCATCTCTCCCTTTGCAACTGGTTTTGGTGTGTTCATCCTGTCTTATTTTCTTCTGCATCTCTGTTCGGGAGTTTGCAGCTTTTCCATTTTGCCTGGTTTTTAGGTATGCTCTGGATGAGGGCAGTCAGTAGGTTTGCAACACCTCCTCCCCCTGTAACCCATGGTCCAGAGTGCAGAAGTTGTTGCAGGAATTATTAAGAGAAGAAGGGCAGGGCTATAACCCCTCCAATAAATATGTATTTGGTACTTACCAATATAAAAGCTCGGTATGTTTCACACTGATACCCAGCAAACCCATTGGGAGTGAGAATACTCTCAGCATAATAGTGGAGACTTCTTTTATGTGCACATCCAACAGATCTATATGCTGGGAAAAAGGCCAGGTAACAAAGATTAAAGCTATACATGAAGAGAAGGTTCATGCCAAAACAACACTCGTGAAACTTTTTCCCTCGAAAGCATTTGCACAGATAGGGATGTTTCAGATGTTTAAAGTAGGAATGATTTGGTTTTATAGTGAAAACTATACTTATGGCTGCATGGATGTTTTCGATAGGAAGATGTAGTTTCTAATTTGCTTGTCCCTGTGCTGATGCTGAAGTTAACAGAGGTGGAAAGGCACCAAGATGGACCTTGTTCAACAGATCTGAGCTTCCTCTTCACCACAAGACGTTGGAAACAGCCTTGTGAAGTGTCTCTGGGAAATATTTAATTCTTCTGCTGAAAATGCAGACATTCTTATGTGTCTGATAGGAAAGTGTTTTCGTTTCAAGTGACTTTGAGCACTGCCAGCTTTCAGTCCTCTTGGTTACTGAGTTCTCCAACCAGAACTCAGACCAATTCTAAGACAGACCAATTTTGAAAACCAATTACTTAACTAGTGGTAGGGTCTTAAATGTTTAGCTGACAATAACAGATGTTCTCATTTCTGTAGGTTAGGATCAGAAGACAGGATTTTGGGATCCATTGTACTGGATCCCAGGGTAATTCTGATTAACTCTGCAGCTTTCTTTGAAGAACAAGAACTATCAATGGAGCTGTCATAATATCATCTTCTTTTGACCTTGTGTTGTTCCCTTTGAAGACACTATGGCTATTAATGGTGTGAATGAGTACATCTAACTAATACTGGAATCAGTGTCTTTCTAGGGAAAAGGAAAGCTCAGATTTTAAAATACTTATTTTTGGACTGCCCTTGAATTAAATTTTACCAGTTCTTCATGTGTGAAATTCCCACTGAGATCAGTCTGTCAGCACAGTGGCAGATACTTAGAAAGGTTGTGATGAACAATTCTGCATGCTTTAATTGAAGTTTGCATCTGGAATTTGACCTGGTTAGTGTGAAAGAAAATCGGAGGGTGTTTCTCAGGCAGCTTTAAATCTTCAATTTTTTAGCATTGACTCCCTACTCTAAATCTGAGCTCTCTAAATAATATATACATTCAAAAGTCTTTAGCCTACCCTTTATTTCTGACTGTAGCTTATAATGAGGTATTACTTCTTTAAAATATATTCACCTCTCATTAAATCATTGATATCCCGAGTTGCAGGAGGTACACGAAGCTGCTTGCATCCTGGCATCCTCCTCCCACCATTTGGGTAAAAATCCAGGTGGCCACAAGTCTGGAGAATCCCTGGAGCTGAAAGGCATAATGAATTGAGGCTGTTCACTGCCAGGTGTGCTGTGACCAACTTCAGTGTTGGTGTCAGCCTTTGTGTGAACACTTACCAAAGTCAAAGAAAAGATGACCAGCATGGGTATGAATGACATCAACAAATTGTGCATCTGAGGGATCCAGCCTAACTGTTGTGGGAGTATATTGGAAAAGGGGCCCAGCTGGATCCAAACCTAAATAAATGGAGACACATCTGATTAAGTAAATAATACTATATCTAAGTCATCACATGGTGTGTTTATACACTGTATGTTATCACATTCCTGCCTTTAGTCCATGTAGGAAAATCTATTTTGTTGTCAACAGCCAACAAAACAAGCAGGGTTTTAGAGAAATGTGGCCAGAGGCATTATGGCCCAGTAAATTGCTGTTGGGTGCTTGGCTTAATTTAGGGGAACAATGTTATAAGAAGAGGTTTTGGGGTGTTTTTTCTTTGCGTGTTAGTGCAAAATACAATTTCTTGCTATGGTACTCTAAGCATGTAGATTTTTTTGAGAATTTTTATTTGGTAAAAAATACCTTTTTATTTCCAAAAGGGCTTAGTTGAAAATGTTGCCTGTTCACCTCAGTGTCAGTGAGCTCTCTTTGGAGCTAAAGCAACAGAGTTCTGATCCCAGTTTCCCTGAGTTGCTGATGTGACTGCTCCCTGTGTACACAGCTTAGTCAAAGCAAGGTCTGTGCAGAGGAAAGACCTGATTGGAGGAAAAGGGAAGTTGAAAGCAGTGAGAAGTCATGTGTGAGTGGGACATGATGCTGTGTCTCTCTACGTAGCTGTGTGACTGGCAGCTTTCTTCCTTTCCAGGCTATTTACTCTCTCATCCTTACATACTAGATCCAGGGAGTTTATTTTTTTTTTGTATCAGATTTCCAGTCTTTTGGACAAATGAAAATTTTTCTAAAGAGGACTTTTAAAATTGAAAATGCCAATGAATTGCTAGTGTGTTACAGGTCTGTTATTCCACATGTATTTTGTTCCTGTTCTTTTATATAATTGAAAATCCTAACCATCTGCTCCCTGGGACTTGTTGTGACCTGTGAAAAGTGATCTCAATGTAGCTGCAGTCAGGACAGTTCAGCCCCAGCTACAAGGAAGCTGGGGAGGAACATTTCATAAGGGCATGTGGTGATTGAACAAGGGGTAATGGCTCTAAACTGGAAGAGGGGAGATTTAGGTTAGACATTAGGAAGATATTCTTTAGTGTGAGGATGCTGAGACACTGGAACAGGTTGCCCAGGGAGGTGGTTGATGCCCCATCCATGGAGGTGTTCAAGGCCAGATTGGATGGGGATTTAAGCAACCTGGTATGGTGGGAGGTGTCCCTGCCCTTGACGGAGGTGGATCTCGATAATGTTTAAGCTCCCTTCCAAACCAAACCCTTCTGTGATTCCATGATCTGTAGCAGTTTAGCCTTTCTCAGAGCTGGGAATGTTGACACATGAAATGCATGGCATGTCTGAGTTTCTGTGCTGTGCTGCTGGCTGTATGCTGGTAATGATAACCCACCAGCACATTGCTGTCTGTGCTGTGTGCTTATAATGCAGCAGTGTTTCTTCACCTCTCTTAAGTTGCATGAAAATATAAAGCTTCATCAGCTGAAATATCTTCAGTACCTGTTATTCTCCCGATGCCAGGTTTCCTTCTCCCTGCCTCCCCTGCAACATGTGCTCCAAGACTATGGCCGATGAAATGAATGTTGGCAGGAGAGTAGCCATAGTCTTTCTGTGAAAATGTGTGGAAAGGAAAAAGCAAGTGTGTTAAAGGAGGGTACAAGCCTGAGGCGCTGCATCATGGCCCTGCACTGGGCCAGGACATGGCCAGACTAGTGGGCAATGGAGGGGACTGTCTGGGTGGGAAACTGCTGTTGTGGGGGGTGGGATCTGTACCTGAAGAGAAGCAGTTCCCAAATAATTCCATCCCGTCTTATCTCACACTTCTGGAGGGGAATCATCTCTGTCAGTTACTGCTCTTCACCCTGCCAGTTTTGCAAGTCAGTCTGCAATCTGGTGCCTTATCCAGCAGAAAACCCATAATGAGCAAAACTTTCAGAAACTTTGGCCTTGTGAGCCTTTAGGGACTTGCTTATCTGACACAAAAGTGGCTATTTCCATTTGTGCCAGATTAGACTTTTAATGACAGTTTCAGCTCTGTTTTTTGAGTCCCTCTGTACATCCTGTCTCCATTGCACCAAACCTAAAGCTGCCACCCTGAACGCAGCATTTACCACACAGGTTATGTGCAGGTTTTCACTCTCCCTGGATACTTTTACCTCAAGAAGGTTCACCAGATACACCAGCTCAGCCCCTGCGATGCGGACGTTGTTCACTGCGTCCGTGTACAACCCGCTGGAGCCGCCTGTCCAGTCAGTCATAATGCAGTTCACATCTTCTGTGTGAAACATCAGCTGGTGGAAAACATGAAAACAGGAGAACAGAAGCAAACAGGCATGAGTTGCAGCTGTAGCCAGGTATATGCACACGATATTTTGTTTTGCTGTAGCCAGGGACTCACTGTTTATGTAGCCTATAAAGACACATTTTATGTATTATTCCCACTAATACTGAAGAGTCAACACAAGGAGGCAGAGTTGAGGCAGTGATTTGAACACTGTCAAGACACACTGTAGCTAGTTTCAGTTCTGTTCTCCATTCCAAACGCCTTGCTTGGCTTTAGGGTATCAGCTTCTCCTAATGGCAACACCCCAGTAAGATAAAAAGGGTAGTACAACTTATATTTTATTGTCCAAGCCTTATTCTTCAAAACAGATATGCTTGGGTTATCTACAAGGATTACCAAATTTGTGTTCATGCGCTTGAAGTGTTCAGCCCCAAAGTTCATGTCTTTTAACCAATATATTCTATTTATGCACTTGTTGCAAGGGAACATTCTGATTTTTCATTGTGAAGCAATTTAAGTTTTGAAATGTGCCTAAATAAAATGAAACCAATCTGCTGATCAAAGCATTGTGGTTTTATTAGATCACGTGCCTCACTCAAACTGAAATGTTTATTTTGACCTTTTGCTGAGGGGAGAAAATTGGCTTTTTTCCCCCCTCTTTATTATTGGTAAAGAATTGAAATGAGGTCTCCCCTCAGCCTTCTCTTCTCCAGGCTGAAGAGTCCCAGCTCTCCCAGCCTTTCCTCATAAGGGAGATGCTCCAACCTCCCAGTCATCTTGGTTGCCCTCTGCTGGACTCTCTATAGTAGTTCCCTGTCTCTCTTGAACTGGGGAGCCCAGAACTGGCTGCTCAGGGAGATGGTGAAGTCTCCTTTTCTGGAGATATTAAAGACCTTCCTGGATGCAGTCCTGAGAAATGTGCTCTAGGTTATCCCACTTCAGTGGGAGAGTTGGACTAGATGACCTCTAGAGGTTCCTTCCAACTCTGCCAATTCCGTGTTTTCATGATATTTGCACTTCCAAACACAAGTGAAATGACCATCAGATGAAAGTCATACCATACCCTGCATATATTTGTTATCCAGGGGAGGTCTTCCTCAGCAAGGTGGCCGTGTATAATGAAGCGAGTTCTCCTGTGTGTTCGGAAATTTGAAGCTTTGATACTTGAAGGGTTTGTAGCAGAAATTTTCTGTGGAAAAAAAACCACCATCAAAACCAAGCAACCAACGAAGAATATACAAGGCTGTGACTCCTCCAACCCAGTGAATGTTTGATACAGGGCAGAGAACCCCAATGATTAAGGCACAGTTCTGGACTCTGAAGAGATGGGTGTTCACTGGTAAACTGCCTTGCTGGGGGATATAAATTAATTACTTTGACAAATTATTCACTTCCCCTAGTTAATTGAATTAATGCTGCTGGCATCTTTTGCACTGTACTGGTACCACATGCCATGTAAGTACAGGATTTTATCAAACTGGGCCAGAGAACTGCTCAGATAGCATCTTCTGCAAAGTTTTATGAGGTTGACTTTGTATCTATACCTATTTGTCTTTCTTCTTCCTTTGAGGAAAAGACCTTCACCTCTAAGTTTATTTCTATTTTATGAGAAAGCCCTCCAGGCTTACAACGTCAGAAACAGTAGGTATTATGGGGTTTATTGAGAAGAAAGGCATTATTTTATGTTAAAGAAATTCTGAAAACTGGGTTTTTTGAAAACTTGGCTCTTGCTTGTTTTTTGTTATGGTTTCAGAAGCTTTAAAGGGCTTGTCATGCACTGAGTAGCACACATCTCATCTTCAGTGAAACTCATTGAAGTTAAAACCTCAGATAGAGACGTTGGACTTGTTCTGAGGTGATTCAAACAGGAGAAATCCACTGTTTGTGACTGCCATTTATATTAAAAAACAACTATGAAGCCGTTTTTGTGTAGTATAAACCAACAACAGCAACAAATTTCCCACCCTTGCCCCCCATTTTCATGTTAATTTTCTGCATTTTTCTTGTAAAATTCACATTCCCTGATGGTCATGTCTCCTCTTTGACCAGCCAAGTCTGTAACTCCATAATACTTCTTCATGCTATAGAGGAGCTCAGCACAGATACCTCCAGCACCTTGAACATCCTGCTGTGAGCTGTTCCCAGTACTTGCTGGTCTTCAGAGGAAAGGGTTGACCTGCTGCTGGTGTCTTTTAGTAGATTTCCATTTGATCCATCCTATGCAGTGCTGCAGACTCCTTTTAGTGACTTCCATTTGTCACTCTGTCACAGTCCAGAGCTTCCTCTCACTGCCACTAGCTTGCAGATGCTGTCAATAACCCTCACCTTTTTTTCTTCCATACAACTCCAGTGTGCTGTCTTTATGTTTCTCTACCTCATGTGTTTTCATGAGGTCTAACCTGGTTCAACTCTCTGTAAAAGGAATGCCTAGGCCCTAAGGTATAACTTACCAAATCTCTTTCTTTAGCTTTTTAGTTTTCATTTTCTCTCAGTCCTACTTTTAAAAAAATATAATATTATTTGTTTATTTTGTTTATCACTATTTCATTCTCTATTTGGTAGTTTCCTTCTTTTTCCACATATTATTTCATTCCTTCATTTTTAATTTTTTTTTTTTTTAGTGTCCTGCTTTCCTTTCTAAGCTTTCCTTTAATTTTTCTTCCTATTTTCCTTCCCCTCTCTGTTGAACACAGATACTTTTTCTTCTGATCTTCACTCTTAACTATCTACCTGACTTAGGAATCACCACACCAGGTGATCCTCTGAGACCAATTGTGTGTAGTTCAGAGGATCTAGTAAACATGTATGAACCATAACCCCGAGTTGTGTGCATGAGCCTGAAATAAAATGTTAAGCTGGGGAGACACAGAAGCCAAACCTGAGCTTTCCTTTTGTAGTGCCTTCCCTACCTCTGGCTTTACAATAGAGAGGCAGATAAAGTGTATCCGAAATATCTCAGGTGACTTGTGTTAGAGGGCTGCAATTAACATGTTGTAAGTATACCTGGCCTGTCAGAGAGCTGAAATGAGAAAAAAGAAATGAGATGAAAGGAAATTGGGATGGGCTGTTGATGGAGTGTGGAAAACAGAATTAGAGCCTTTCCTGGGAGGCTTTTGAGTAAAAATAGGAGAGAAAAGAAACTGTCTGTATAATATGTTGGATGTGTAGTGTACCATCAGTTATTAAAACAAACCAGTTTCTTACTTGGTGTTTCATGGTGTTCTCTCTAGTGTAAAGGAGGAAATTGGTGTTCACAGTTTTGGGAGAGCTGGGCAGGCCTGCCAGTTGTCTCCCTGGAATCCCAGACCAAGGAGGGTTATCTGTGAAGCATCCAAGCCTTTCATAGCAAACTTCCCTTCCTGGGATAAGCAAAGAAACGTGTTAGTGTTTCAGGAATGCAGGAGGTTAGGCTGCCACCTCCTTACAGGAAGCTGGGAGGTTGGTGCTTGTAGCAGGGTAGTGGAAAATGGCTGATTCAGATGAGGATGGCACCTGTGTTCATTTTTCATTTAGGGGCTCATTTCACGGAACCACAGAATTGTCAGAGTTGGAAAGAATCTCTAAGATCACAACATTCAACCATCAATCCTCCCCCTCTCCATGAAGGAAAAAAATAAAAAAAATAAAGCCCAGTAGAGCATGTCCTGAAGTGCCCCATCTACACTGTTTTTAAATACCTCCAGGGATAGTGACTCCACCACCTCCCTGGGCTGGGCAGCCTCTTCCAGCACCTGACTACTGTTTCAATAAAGTTCTTCCTAATGTCTAGTCTAAACCTTCCCTCCAGCAACTTCAGGCCATTTCTGTTGGTCCTATCATGATGAAGAGAAGAGACCAACACCCACCTCCTTCATGTAGCTGTAGATAGTGATTAGGTCTCTTCTCCAAACTAAACAATCCCAACTACCTCAGCCTCTCCTCACAGGACTTGTTCTCCAGCCTCTTCACCAACTTAGTTGCCCTTCTCTGAACTTGCTCCAGCCACTCCATGACTTTCTTGTAGTGAGTAGCTCAGAACTGAGCACAGCACTTGAGGTGCAGCCTCACCACTGCTGAGTACAGGGGCATGACCACCCCCCTCTTCCTGCTAGCCACGATATTCCTGATACAAGCCAGGATGTCACTGGCCTTCTTGGCCATCTGGGCACACTTCTGGTTCATATTCAGCCAGCTCATATTCACCCCCAGGTCCTTTTCCACCAGACAGCTTTCCAGCCACACTACCCCAAGCCTGTAGCGTTGCCTGGGTTTGTTGTGACTGAAATGCAGAACCTGGCCTTGGCCTTGTTAAGCCTCATACAACTGGCCTCAGCCCATCCATTCAACCTGTCCAGATCCCTCTGCAGAGCCTCTCTACCCTCAAGCAGATCAAAATTCCCACTCAATGTGGTGTTGCCTGCAAACTTGCTGAGGAAGCACTCAATCCCCTCATCTAGCTGATAAAGAGGTTGAACAAGACCTGCCTTCCCTGAGCCCTGCTGGCTGGGCTGATCCCCTGCCTGCCCTGCACTTGCCGCGTGAGCCCACTCAGGGTGAAACACTCCAGAATTTTTCCAGGCACTGCAGTCGGGCTGACAGGCCTGTAGTTCCTTGGATCCTCCTCCTGTCCCTTCTTGTAGATGGGTGTGTCATCTTGACAAGCCTCCAGTCATCTGGGACCTCCCCTGTTAACCAAGACTGTTGATTAATGATGGAGAGAGGCTCAGTGAGCTCTTCTGCCAGCTCCCTCAACACTCTTGGGCGGATCCAATCCAGTCCCATGGACTTCTGAGAACCCAGGTGCTGTAGCAGGTCACTAACTGCTTCCTCCTGGATTATGGTTGTGCTTACAGTTACATTGTGATTACAGTTGTGCTCCCGTGCCTTAGACGTGTAGCAACATCAAGACTGGTTCCCATGGCAAGCAGTGTAGAGCTCAGTTTGGTGAGCTCATGACTTTGTCAATCATATTGCTGACACAGGCATCAGGAAATGTCAGTAAAGTCTTGATAATTTATGGATCCAGAGAACAGAACAGCTTTTGCTGCCAGCACAGAGCAGTCCTTCAGCTTAGTGCTAATGCTCCAAGGTTTATCAAAATTGCTATTTCTTGGAAAACAATTAATGAAGGAGTAAAACGAAACCGAACCATTAGAATAGATAGCTCACGTTGCTCCACAACATACATCAAACATCTCCTTTAATTTTTTTATCACCTTAAGGTTTTAGTGGAAGCAACAAAGTGGAATCTGAGTGGAAGCCTAGAGCAAAGGACAGCCTCTGCAAGTGTGGCCTGTGCCTGAAAGATTAGAGTTTCCCAATTTCTACTGTGACTTTAGCACAGTAATAATGCAAATATGACACATGGGCGTTGCCATTAAATGTAGTCCTTACTCACTATGATAGCACAACAGTTGTGAAAGCCTCTCCAAATTTTAGTGCTATTAAAAAAGATACTGAAAACAAAGAGAATCTATTGTTACCTAGGAGAGGTCACACATGCATGTTACATCAGACTGTGACTTTACTCTGCTTGTTAACTCTGTATGAAATGCAGGAGCAAAGTGATAGATACTGGAAATAACCTAGAGAAGGAGAGGATTTGATTGTGGAGCTGCAGCTGGGGACTCCACAAGAGATACAGTAATTTTTACAGGGGTCTTTCCTCTGATGACAGCAAACTTTTAGACCATGTCTTTTTGTTTCTCTCCATGTACATCCCTGTTGATCTGTTCTTTCCTACTGGTTAAGAGGTATTTTGGACCATGACTGTTTTCTTGCTCTCTTCCTAGTGCTATGAAGAGTAAGTGCCTAGGCTGGCATTACAAATGTAGCTACCAGAAATGCTGGTGTGGGTTGAGAGTGGGTAGGGAAAACTGTTCTGGAAGAATTTTAGTATCATTTCACCTATATAAATACCTTTCTAATTCCCATTCTGTTTGCTAGCTGCAAAGATTTTACAGAATGAAAAGGTAATAGGTTAAATGTGGGAAAGACATGCCATAACTCAATGAAGAAGCCTGTTAAACACATTCCAAAGCACATCCTTTTCCTAAAGCATAGTTATTTTGGTGTAAGCTGCACACTGGTTTTACTGTTTATAAGTTTCAACAACTGTAGGTGTCTTACCTCTGGCTGCATCAAGAAGAAAAAGAGTAGTGATCCATACTGCTAACATCTAAAGCAAAAAAAAAGAACACAGTTAAAACCTGATTAAAAATAGAACCTGGAATTAAGCTGAGGGTTCCCTTGACCCATTAAAAATAAGTCATAGTGACCATAGGAACACTTCAGCCATTTAATGAGCTGGATCCAAAAGAATCAATATTTCCTTAGAGATAGTAAGGTTTTTAAAAAAAAATACCTTTGAAATAGAATCATAGAATGGTTTGGGTTGGAAGGGACCTTAAAGATCACCTAGTTCCAAACCCGTACATGGGTAGGGACACCTCCCACTAGACCAGGTTGCTCAAAGTCCTGTCCAGCCTGTCAGGGAATACTTTCTGTCTCCCATAGAGATTTTGCGTATGCGTACACATCTGTTATAGACTGTCCACCTGACTTTGAATGAGAACTATTTTTTTTCTCTCTAGAGCTGCAATTTATGGGCATGCAAATTAAATTCTTAAAGGATTCACAACATTTTTTTCCAGAGTAAAATGTATTTAATTTAGCATTATAAAATTTAGCATTTATTAGGAAAGTTACTCACAGAAATGCTGTTCAGTGATTGTATTTAAAAGAACACAGGAAAACACTTAATTTGTATTTCTTCACCATATAGCTAGTCTTGCAAACTCATTTATATAATTGCTGTTATCCATGTGCACTTATCAGCCCTGATCTGCTTGATCACTTAATCATCAGCTGATAGGTACAGTTTGGAGTAAATGCAACCAGTCATTTACTTAGAGGTGAAGTAGGGAAA